CAATTAGTAGACTAAATGTGGGCCAATTATATCGAATAAAAATACGACAATTTTGTGTGCAATTTTTTCTTTATTTTGTTCAATGGAAATTTGTTAGGATTTTGATTTTTGTAAGATTATCTTTGATCATGTAATTTCGAAATACATGCGAAAGCTCGGAAAATAATGAAATTCTAAAAGGTTTGAACACTGATGACTGTCCTATTCGACAACATTCGGTAATCTCCGATTTTGATATCTGCTTTCTAGCTGATTTAGACTAAAAATAATCGCACTATTAATTTTCATAAATTGTATATGAAAGAAAAGAAAGACAATAGTCTCATGTTTCGCCTAAAAATATTTTCAAACTCAATGTTCTGGCTGAATGTAGTTCTGTGTCACTGTTTAGAGAAAGTGTAAAATTGAAGAACTTGCTTTTTAATTGAAAAAAATTTGAGAATAATTGTTTGAATTAAATTCTGAATAAAGTTTTAATGGAACGACCTAAAATGTACAATATTATTGATAATATATGAAAATTAATAATTAATTTAGTAATAATTTTTAAAATGGCCCCCACAATAAAATTAAATTCTTCTAAAAGCCCATTCCAAATTTATTTCAAAATTAAACTTAGGTTAGGGTAGATTAGGTTGACTCGGCTATGCGAGGATACAACTAGGCCACTTGGGCCCGTTGTGATTCCGCTGATTAAACTTAATTTTATTTAAATATAAAATTCAATATTAAACGGAAATGTACTCATTTACCTATTGATTTATATTTTTTTCCCAAAAATAAAGTAAAAATATCGGAACATTGCAAATTATATAATAATTTGCAATAAATTTTACAGTTAAGCAAACATATTTTCACGAAAATGAGCAAAAAGCAAAAAAAAAAAAAACGAGGAAAAACTGCAGTGCATTTTATGTTTATAAATTTGTTGTGCACCTATGTTGTCATTATTATCCTTGAAATATTTATCCACCCTCTTCTTTTGGTTAATTTTGATTCTCGATCATGTCTTTTTCTACTTTTTTTTTCATTTTCGCAATTTTATGCATAACAATTTGTTCTTCTTAATCTTTTTATTTTTCACTATGTACAGTCTACCATTATGCAAATGCCTTCTCCCTTTTATTTTCATTTTTTTATTTTTCTTTTTGATAAATATTCAGCAAGTAAGTTTTTTATTTTTTATAAATCCTTTACGTATTTTGATTTTAATGTATGTAACTTATAAGAGAGGTACACCTCCATTTACCCCCCCCTCCCTTACATTTTATTTTATCGTTTACCCATGTTGTTGCATAACGGAGCTCTAAATTTATTGTATCCAAGAATATAAACGGTAAAAAGGCATAAAAAAAATCAATGCCTGGGAATGAAAAGTAGAGGGTACAAAATATGGACGGAACAATTCTTCAGATAATATAATTTCATTAATTATTCGCAAAATTGCACTCTTTTATTGTACCATCGTAGTAGTTGAATGTATATGAGTGAGTTGTTTATGTAAAATGTGTACAAAACATTTCCCCACGCTTACTATCAATATTTTGTGAGTCCTTCCTAACAAAAAATAGAAAAAATATATTTTATAATTATCTATATGTATATATTTATAAATGTACATATGTGTAATAATTAAACTCATATACAGAAAGTACTCACGCACATACTTTCCTTTGTTTTTTATGTTACAGAATAAGAAAAAGAAAATTTAGTTGCAGAATAATGTACCGTTATAATTTTGATGTCGTAAATTACTTACGGCACTCTTATATATTCGATGGGGGTCGAAATTTTTTTTTTTATTTTTTGTAATTTTTTATTTTTTTTTTTTATTTTAGTAGATTCTGATAAAATAAAAACCAAAATAAAAGCAAATAGTAATAAAAAATCGCAATCAGTTCGATTCCTTTTTACACTGATAATTGAGTTTACAAGGACCACTGCAATCTATACATTCCCTAATTCATATTAGCGGACTGTTAAGGAACATAATATTACATCGTCAGGCATCGTGCAATTTATTTATTTTTAAAATATGGCACTCAATATTTTGTATTCGAATTTTTAGTGCTAAAATAAATCTGAATTATTAAAAAAAATACGAAAAAACAAACTTGTGCTTACGAAAAATATGTTGTGAAAAACACTATTGTGGGAACAATATGAACCGTATGATATGAATTAGCGGTAGTCTAAATATTTCAAAAATGTAAAATTCACTAATAATTTTTTTAACTTTGTCAGTCGTTCTGAACGAATTTTGTGGTACAGAATGGTCCCGCTTTTTAAGTAATCTGCTATACCATAGCTATTAATAATATTAAAAAGTAGTACACTTACTCCTTTACTACCATAATTTTTATTTCATTCAACACTTAAGAAGCTCAGCCTCCTATTTGAAACTGATTGTATATAATTATAAATGTAATATTAGTAATGCTACCTAACCAGGGGTCTTACTATGTAATACGATTTTCGTATTCGCTATATAAATTAATATAGTATTAGCTTTCCATTCCAGCAAATCCGAAAATTTTTTTACAAAAACTGAGCTACATAGTAAGGTCCCGAATACCAAATACTATTTAAGAATATTTCTTTCTCTTATTTGAAAGAGTTTACCCTCAAATAATTAAATTTCACAAAAAAATCTTATTTTCAAATTTTTGACATGTTTAATTATGGAAAGCTTAATGTTGTTTTGACATTGATGCAACATTACTGTGAAAAATGTAATAAATAGCAAATGCAGTAAACAAAACGGCAGAAAATTAAAGCGGTTATTTGGTGTTTGCCTTATTTTTTCTGCTTATACATATATATGCATTTGCAATTATGTATGTTTAATGGTTCTTCTTGTCTAAGGTCTCAGATGCTTCATATACCCCAAAATTTAACTCTTACTTATTACTTTTATTTTAAGCAATTTTTTAATACTTGTAATATCGCCTTATGTAAGTGTATTCTTGGTACACGTGGTGGTCAGACCGCACAATACTTTTTTTGGAACGATGATTTTAAATTATGAAATGCTTTTGTTTTTTTTTTTATTTAATGAAAATAAGTATAAAACAAGTGAATATACAGAAAATAGTAAAAAAAAATAGAAATCCATTTGCAGTTTAATTATATAGGGTCAAATGTAAAAATTTAAGTGGGAAGGTTAAAAAATTTTACGTGTAAATGTAGCTGCGTAGACATTATGTTTAATTATTGAAATCTCATGGGTAAAGTAAGCAGCAGAATCTACAACTTATTTATGCACGTATGAGAATTTTAATTCTTATGCTATGCAACAGGAAAATACGTTGCGTACCATAAGAATTAAAATAAAAATGTTCTAGAGCTAGATAACATTAAACAAAGTTTTGATTCTTCGATATTTTATAATGCTTTAAAAACTCAATTTCCCCCAAAAGTTGTTAGGAAAAAGGTCAAAATTACAAATATTTAGTAAGCTAAAATCGGGGAATGTGTACATTTCAAATAACATTCAAAATTCAGTCTACATTTTTGGATTTGGAAAATAAGCTTTTTAAACTGTAAAACAAATTTATTCTATAGTACCAAAGATCATTAGTTATTTCAATAGATTTCCTATTTTTAACACCCTTATTTACATTTCTATATGTAATTTCTCACCAGACGCAGGTGTAATATAATGATTTTTAAGTCAAAATCTTTTGAAGCACATATACACAGATATCTTCAATTAATATACACAAAAACAAAAATGTGTATAAAAGACATCTATAGTAAAAAAATTTCTTGTATTCAGTTTAAAAACATTAGAGCGTTTGGTGTTGTAAAAATTACATTGCCGTTCTGTTTCTGATGAATGAAAGAATGAATGAATAAATTGTAGTAAAAAAATTGAATTACGAGCACAATATGTAGTAGATATAATATGAGTTCTTGTAATAAAGGAATGCATTTTTATGAAATATAGGGGTCGAATTGAATTCAGTTGATTTTAGTTGAATGAAGGGTTAATGGAATTTCTTGTTTTTTTTTATTTATTTTACGGTCGGTTCATGTTTTATTTTTTCCTGTTATTTTTTTTTTGCTACTTTTTTCTGTTTTTGATTTTACTTGTTTGTTTGTTACCTTATTTATGTCGTACAACATTTGAGAATCATATATAAGCATGTGGTGAAAATATATAGGTGTGCGCAAATGTACATAACAATGGGTGAGTAAAATTTGTGTTGAGGTTGTTTGTAGGAAAGTGCAATTGTAACACGTTGTTGACATGATTTGCGAAAAATAATAAACGAATCGATCTTTATTTACGTCAAAAAGTTGTTAAAAGAAAGAGGCTAAAATAAAGCGTAAAATGAAATAAAATTCATTAACTACATTGATTGCAAAATATAATTTTCAATAAAGTAGAAAGGGACAAATGACTTTATTATAACAAATCGATTTTATGCTGTTATTTTTCGTTCATTATCTACATGATATAGACTCGATTTTTATATCCTAAATGTCAGTCTTTTATTCTTACTTCTTTTGTGCTTAGATTTTGGGAGCTTAATGTTATTAAGTAGAGTGGAACCCAATACTTAAAGAATTAATTTTACGGTAGAAAAATTGGGATATTGCCTTCACCGGAATTATACTTAAATATTGCCTGGTTATATAATTTTCTAGCAATCGGAAACGTCAGACGTAATCAGTTTGTTTGTTTATTTTTACATAACTGGTGAAGTTTTTTAATCTATTCTACTAGAACTTAAAAGTCGCCTAGGATCTCTTATATTTTTGTCGGCAAATGCGGTTAAAGTTCTCACTCAAATTAATTTTGGTAGTTTAAAAATAAACATTTTAAACAGCGGAATCCGTAAAACTGTACTAGTGATCCGCAAAACTAATTTGGAATTACTTTATATTTTCATATTTAAATTCTTCAGAAAAAGTTTTTTGAAAACCTTTGAAACAATATTAAAGCTTTCATCATATTCATTTGTTATTAATTTTAATATTTATTTTATTTTCAGACGAGTCGGGATGCGAATCTGACATGGCGGAGGGTATTGAAGAGACAGAAAATAATAGTAGTAGTGCCGATACCCCTGCTATGTTAGGAACAGTAATACCATGTGAGGCTATAACAGCTGCCTTAGGCGGTATGAAACGTGAATTTGATTCAATTAGTAATAGTAGTGGTATTGATACTGGTGGTGGCGGCGGCGGTAGCATGGGAATTAGCGGTAGCGGTTCCGGAAATCTTGGTATTGGCCTTATAACACGTGAAAATGATGGTCGAATATCATCACCATCATCTATGATACATAATAAAGATGGCACTATTTCACCAATATCAATGTCAATTGATACAACATCTATATCAAAATCAATGAATGCTGCTAATATGCCAACACCAACATCTTTAAATAATAGTAGTAATAATAATATTAACAGTAATATTAATACAATATCATCGTCATCATCATCAACAACAATAGGTACAAGTAATAAAGTAAGATCTTCAATATCACCGCAACCCCCACCATTATCAACAGCAACATCAATAGCATTATCAACAACATCATTGTCATCAGCGTCTTCATCATCATCATCATCTTCGTCATCATTATCGTTATCAGTAACAACAGCACCTGGAGTAGGAACAGCATCATCAACATCAGGAAATGTACATCATCAAATACAGCAACATCATCCAATAAATCTTAAATCAGAGGTAAGTCACAATTTCTTTACTTAAATTTTATTTTCTGTTTTCATTTAAATTTTATTGCCTGAATTGAAAAAAATGAAAACAATATCACATATAAATATGTGCATATTTTTTCTTAAAACAAAGTTAATAAAAGGTAACACGTTGTTCAAAAGAGAAAAAGAAATACGTTTGTACGTTTACTATAGGTTGATTTGTAAAGTAATTCTAAAAAAAAAAAGAATCTAATACAAATTATAAGCTAAAGTACAAGAATTACATATACAATTTTAACAAGAAAAGTATTTTGAAAAACGTGTTGCTTATTACATAAGTATTTCAAACGAATCATTGCACAAATGGAAGCAAACTATCTGTTCCAAACAAATAAATACATAAGTACATTCATAGTTAGAGCTATCATTGAAAGGGAGTTGAGTATAGAAATAAAATAAAAATAATATTTTCTTTATTGGAATAACTGAACACAACTAAAAATTGAAGCATTACCGCGATCATCACCAAAACATTCTTTGAATACCAGTTAACATTACGCATTTTAATGTAAATCGATTTCTTGTTAAGAGGCGCTGACTGAACTTAAGATAAATTAATAAAAGTATAAGAAAGAAAAACGAAAATTAAAAATAATTTCTCCCTGTTTCAGGATTTTGAAGATACAATCTCTTTTGCTTTTAATTTTCTCTCTCCATCTCACTGCCTCTTTGTTCTGCAATGTTTCATTTACTGTTCCTTTAATTCCATTTACATACTTTATGTCGACTTTAGCATAATCTAGCTTAAGGCAAAATTTAAATTACTCTTTAAGTAATAATTCATTAATGATTGTTCGAAATGATTTAAATTAAATAGGAAGAAAAAAAAAAGAGAAGTGAAATATTAATCGAAATTATAATTTTTATTTTAGTTCACATTGATGTTTTCGTTAAAAGTTTTTTTTTCCTGCGCGAAAACAAGAAATTAATTAGTTAAGGAAATGAGAAAATTGAAGAAAAAAAAATGTTCTCTTAGATCAATTAAAAGTTGGGCACTTATATCGTTTTTTGATTATAAAATACGATAGATTTTTTATTATAATTTTTTATAAAAAATTTAATTGATTATAATTTTATCGTATGTCAATGTGCAATACATAGTATTACAATGTATTTGCATGAATTTTGGCATAAAATAAGACATAAACTCTTGTGGTTTTCAAACAAAAGAAGTGTTGTCCTGAAATTCTAAACTATTACTTAATCTAATTCCTGTCAACAATTTTAATGTAATTAATTTTAGAAATGTTAAATTGATTATCATAATTAAAAAATTAAAGAACGAAAGTTGCAGAAAAACCTATAATATAAAATTTTCGAATTCGAGCGCGTTTCAAACTGTATAGGTATGTCTTACAACATCGTGAAACTCCGACTGCAATATCAAAAAATTCAAATGTGCAGTACCAAAAATTTTAGTGTGTACATAAATTATAAATATATTAGTATAAAATGTAGTCTTCTTCTAATTGAAGGCAGAGAAGCATTTGCAAAGACTAAGCTTTATCACACATTAAAATAAAAAATTTTTAATTAAAATTGTAGTTATTACTTTTACGCAGTTTATCCTTTTATTTGACTGTTTGCCAACAAGATTTTAGCATCTTCTTTAAAAAAAAGATAAGATTCTGAAACTTTATTAAAAAATTTTTGAATAAGATATGCCCGCCTTCTCTTCTATTCCCAAGCTAAAATTTATATATATTGTAAACTTGTAAAATTGTCATTAAATTCCTAAATTATTAAATCTTAAAAATTCTGAACGCGTAACACTCTGTTTTTTGTATTTTTGTATAGATGGACATAGGTAGTTCTATTTCACAGAACACCCCACATATATATTTAGATACGTTAGATTTGTTAGATGTAGAAATCGACATCATTAATAAAACAAATTTATATGATAACCATAAAAATGTGTTAATACGCAGACCAAGTCAATTATTTTTGAATAATAAGTAGAGTAATAAAAATATTATTAAAAAAAGCAAATTATTGTGCATAAAAGAAAAAAATGTTTAAAGGCTATGTAGTAAAAAATAAGAAAAAAATATGACAACTATGTTCCTAATTTTTAATGCGCTACTCGCTATATTTGATCACTCTTTGTATACCTATAATATAAAATTATAAATAAGTATAATAATATGATCCTCGGAGATATACAGCACATTTCATTTACTATTACATATTATAATTGTTAAAAGTTACCAAGTTTGAAATATTCCTGAAAACCTTCTGTTTTTTTTTTATACTCTGGTTTAAATATTTTCAATATGCGCACATAATATGCCTATGTACAGAGTTGTTCAATATATACCTCTTAGTTCAACACTATTCAAAATTTTAATTGACATTATTTTTGTTTGTCTTTCAATTTTGGGATCAGTTAAAATAAAGTTCTTTTCAATTACTTGTTTCTTTTTCTGTTGTATTGTTATTGAGACATCTTATCAATTATTAAAAACAGCATAACTTTTGAAATATTTCCAGCACTACTTGCAAGCTAAAATATTCTTAGGAATTATTGCAAAAGTATTCCCAAGTCCAGTTATAGAAATATGAAATGAAAATTATTCTCGATCCGCACGATGTATATTTCATATAAATAATACACACAAGCCTTTACAAAATCGGGAAAACGAGTCTATTGAAAAACTAGTTTCTAATCCGAGAAGCACTGTTTCCGAACTCAAAAAAATTTCTATATTGTTATTTAAGAAAAAAGTGCCTCTAAGTCAGTTTTAAATTTGCTAAATTTAGCATACAAAATCATGTTCTTCTAATTGAATATCCTATATCTACATACTTACAAAATAGCATTTAAAAATATTTTAACTGTTACAATATCAATTATAATTTTTCGATTTGCTCTCTCCATCTCTCTTTATATTATTATGCTCATTTAATATAGAACTGCATACATAGCGAAACATAAATATGTTACATATTTTCGTTGGTGTACCAGGCAACATTTCTAAATGTTAAATGTTATGTTATATTTATTTTTGTTTTTGTATTTTGTACTCGATTTATTGATATTTTTATTGTATCGTTGTGTAGTTGCATTATGTTTTATGATTTGCGCGTTCTGCTAAATATGAATTTTTTCCATATTTATTTATTTAGTTATTTATTTATTATTATTATTGTTTTTTTTTTTTGCTTTACAAAACGTTTAAATATTGTTGAGCTCAATGATAATTACTTTTTTTTATTTTGCAGAAAAAAAAAGTAAAAATATCCCGCTTGGGCAATAAATTCATAATTTATCCGTGATTGTAACGCATGTAAAAATAATTTTTTTTTTTTTCAAATTCAAAAACATTAAACTCATTAATATAAAAAAAAACATAAGAATAAAAATATAAAAATCGTGATTATAAATAAAATGAATATTAAAATGCCTTGAGGAAATATTCGGCGAAAATATTTAATGAAAAAAAAAGAAAAATAAAACACAGAAAAAAAATCTGAAAAATTAAAGAAATTTTTTTTGTTTTTATTTTTTTTTTTTTTGTAAAAAGGAATTAATTGAAATGAGTTTAAAAATTTTAATAATAAAATATAAAAATTTTTTTTTATTTTCGTTTTTTTTTGTACTTTTAACTACAAGTAGGTATTTGTCGTATTTCACTCTGGAAAATTGAAGATATTTCCAAATGATAAGTTAAGAAAAGTTAAGATATTTCCAAATGACCAAATTTAATTTAATAAGAATAACAAGGATGTAGGTAGGTTATCCGTCTGAAATTTGGGATATGCCAATAAATATGAATTTCAGAGGGTTGTGTAACTATTGTATAAATAAATTGTGATTCTAGAAAATTTTGAATTTTTTGATCGAAAAAATTAGCAGGAGAAAACAAACATGAAAAGAAACGATTGACGATAAGAGAAAATTAAACCCGTAAAGAAAAGAAAGATTAAAGTCTAAGAAAATATGTCTAAGAAAAGTTGAAATATGTTAGGCTTAAATATTTATTTATCCAAGTATATTGTTCAGTACCACTTAAAAGTATTTGCTTCACTTTTAAAGCTAAAATTTTTTAGGCAACAGAAGAAAATGAGAGTAATGAGTCTTCTTATAAAAAATTTAATAATTATTATTTCACGAAATTCTGGGGCGAATATTATTAAAACTAAGTGACCATCATATTACCAATAAACGGCTCTAAAAGTACTGGAACAAAATATAATGGCTAAACTAATACATATAAAACATAAAAATTAATTGTATAAGACAGGAATATTAATTGAACGACGAAAGGTTGAGAAAACAATTTACGATATTACCTTTGATTCACGGCTTATTACTTTTTCTGCAATTTTTTAGCTCATTAATGTATTTTCTCATTCTCTCTCCCTTTCTCGCGCATTCCTGATTACATTTTTTTTTTATTAAAATATTTTTGAACTCAAATCAATTTAATTTACGTTTACAAATATGGCAATAATGCTGTCCTAATTTTTATTTCAATTATTTTAAATAAAATAATTAATGGAATTTATGAATATATGCGCGCATTTGTACAATACCAATGATAAATACATACATATATATATATATACATATTTTAAGAATAAGTGCAAAATGGTAATGCGCCTATACATATGAGTACATAATAATGTGTGCGCGTTACTGGTCTGTTGGTATAGGTATACATATATTTATTTCCATTTATAATAATTCATCATACATTTTATAATAGTAATCATACTTAAAATTAACTTAAGCTGCTTAAATTACTGAAGTTTGGGATACAGTTACAAGTAGAAAATTTTGTTATAATGATTGTGTGCATAATATATGAAAAATTACTAATAAGTAAAAGAGAAAAGGAACTTTAAAGTAATATCTGTACACAATATGTTGTATATTATTCGTGATATACGAATATATGCTGAATTTTATAGATTCCAGGTGTTCAAAAAAAAAAAAAAACCCAAGCAGTTAATTCATAATTGTACATGATTTTACTTGATTTCATTTTCTACTTTTCCTCTTTTTTGTAAAGGCATACGTTGCAGGTATTCTTATATGACAAATAAATTAAGCTTAAAATTTTTGTTAAATTTTAATCTCGCAATTTATAGTATTTTTAAATTAATTCAACATAATTTCATTTATGAAAATCTAAGATTTTTGAAAATTGGCTAAAATATTATATTAATTTAGGTATATTGACTTTATAATTCAAAAAATGAGAAAGATATTATCATGGGTGCGTAATAATTATAAGACTTATAAATAGAAATCAAAATTTTGAAAGTAATAAAATTGATTTATTATGGTAAAAAGGACAAGTTTTAATCATTGATCTTACTACATGAAACACAATTTTTAATTTAAATGGTATGCTTTCGTATGTTTGTAAACTGTGTATCAGAATTACAAATATTATTGCTTGATCAGAGAGCATCAGCAAAAGGAGCCAAGTTTTTGATCTTATTCCAAGTTAAACATATTAATGAACTAGGAAAGAATAGCTAGCATATGTGTTATCTTAATCGCAGGTATAAGCAAGTGGTGAGCAAAATAATTTTTGTCTTCTAAACGCAACTCTTAAAACTATTGCATACAATCTTGCGATATTTTTACGAGACCAATAATTAAGCCAGTCTAACAATTTTGTTCGAAACAAAAATACATAATAAAAGTACATTTTTCTCTTGTATAACTAATATCTTAGAAGGGAAAATTTAAATTTGGAGCATTATCTTCTAAAATGCATTACATAAAGG